TATGGCATACAATACAAACCGTAAATGGAATTCATTACATGTATAACAGTGTTTAGTAACACTCATCTGAAGCAATATTAGAGAGAATATAAGATAATAAAGTGGTACTTAACGAGTGTCAACACACTTCCAGCCACAAATCCATCTCTTCTGAACAGATCAAGTCTTCCCTATGTAATGCATAATACACTTTGGAAACCATTTTAACCAGTTTGTAATCGGACAACAGAATGAGAAGAACAACTCACTTGTATTGATCTCAGGCTTATGCCTTTATACATGTACAACATTGACACAGTCATAGGGCTAACTAGAATAGCTACAAACAAGGAGAGCCAAGGAACGTGCTTGTGCTCGCTAACACCCCCCGCAGTATGAGCGTCGTTGCCGGCGACGCATAGACTGTCTCGGAACTCCTTGAAGCTTGCCGTGGGAAGCCCTTTGGTCATCACATCGGCGAGCTGTTGTGTCGTTGGTACCTGTATAATCTGGTATTGGCCAACAGCGACCTTTTCTCGGACGAAATGCACATCGAGCTCAATGTGTTTGATGCGTTTGTGGTGCACGGGGTTGGAGCTCATGTAGCATGCGGCGACGTTGTCGCAGAAGACGATCGTAGCCTTGGACATTGGGCAGTCAAGCTCACCTAGAAGCTGGCGAATCCAGGTGCACTCGGCCACAGCGTTTGCAACGCCGTGGTATTCGGCTTCGGCGCTTGAACGAGAGACGGTGGTCTGTCGCTTCGACGACCACGAGAGAAGAGCGTCCCCCATGAACACGCAGAACCCTGAGGTTGAGCGTCGGGTGTCTGGGCATCCCGCCCAGTCGGCGTCCGAATAGGCGACAATGTCCGAGTTGTTGCTGCGCCGAAGATGAAGGCCGAGCGTCGATGTGCCGCGGATGTACCGGAGAATTCGCTTGACGAGTGCCTGGTGTGCCATTGTGGGCGCGTGCATGTGCAAGCATGCTTGCTGAACGGCATACTGCAGGTCAGGGCGAGTCATCGTCAAGTATTGGAGCGCGCCGACGAGACTCCGGTAGTCCGAGGCATCAGAGGTGTTCAGAGGAGAACCAACTTCACTGGATAGCTTGCCGGCGGTGTCGATGGGTGTGTCGCAGGGATGATAGTCGCTCATGCCGGGACGGTCCAGCAAGTCGAGGGCGTACTGCTGCTGTTGGAGGAAGAAGCCCCGATCGTTGCGCTGAACTTGAATGCCGAGGAAGTAGTGCACGGGTCCCATGTCTTTGAGCTTGAACTCGGCGTTGATAGTGTTCACAACCCAGCGAAGGAGCTCGCTAGAGGAGGCAGTGAGCACGATGTCATCGACGTAAAGTAGGAGATACACAGTTTCTTTTCCTTGCCGTAGGATGAAGAGGGAACTGTCGGAGCGGGTGGGGCGGAATCCCATCGAGCCAAGGAAGGTGGCCAGGCGCATGTACCACGCCCTGGGCGCCTGCTTCAGGCCGTAGAGGCTCTTGGAGAGGCGGCACATGAGGGTGGGACTGTCGGTGAAGCCGGCAGGTTGTCGAGCGTAGACTTGTTCGTCGAGGATGCCGTGGAGGAATGCGTTGTTGACGTCAAGCTGATGAACCGGCCACTGGCGTTGGGCGGCGAGAGTGAGCACCGTGTGCACTGTCGCCGGTTTGACAACCGGGCAGTACGTTTCGCCATAGTCGACTCCTACTCGCTGTGTGAATCCACGGATGACCCACCGGGCCTTGTAGCGATCGAAGCTTCCATCTTCTTTGAATTTGTGACGAAAGATCCATTTGCCGCTAACGCCGTGGGCGCCGTGGGGGCGAGGAACGAGTTCCCACGTGTCGTTGGCAAGCAAGGCGTCGAATTCTGACTGCATCGCTTTGCGCCAGTTCTCATCTTTGAGTGCTTGATTGACGGTGCGCGGGATAGGCGAGATGTCCGCCGTGGTCGCAGCGCCGGCATACTGGGGGTTGGGCTTGAACATGCCCACACGTGCCCTGGTGATCATGGGGTGGGGGGCTGGAGTGGCGACCGAGTTTGGCGGAGGAGATGAGCCCGCGATCGAGTCCGGATTTGTTGCTGAAGCCAGTGGAGATCGTGGTGATGCGGTCGTAGAGATGGTTGCGCCTTGATCGTGCGGCACGTTTGATGCGCGCGGCGAACGTGTCGCGGAGTTGGGTCCACTGGGACCAAGCGTCGTGGCTGGTGCGCGCGGTGATCATGGGGACGGAGGTGCCACGTCGTTGTCGCTGAGATCCTGGCGCCAGGGGTTGTAGGCGCAGCTTGTTGGCGAGGTTGGTGCTGGTCCGGATCGGTAGGGGAAGACAACTTTGTCGAAGTGAACATGTCGCGAAATAATCACTTTCCGCGTCGACAAGCTGTAGCACCGATAGCCACGATGATCCTGCGAATATCCAATGAAAATACAAGCCACAGACCTGGGTGACAGTTTGTTAGGGCTGGTGGACTCAGTATTGGGGTAGCATAAGCAACCAAAAACTCGCAGGGATTTGTAGTCTGGATCGGTGTGGTAGAGGAGGGAATAGGGGGTGGCCAGGGAACGTGGCTTGCAAGGTTTTCGATTGTGAAGATAAGTCGATGTTTGCAAGGCTTCGACCCAAAATATTGGTGGAAGAGCGGCATGAAGAAGGAGGGCGCGGACTCCTTTGTTCAAGGTGCGCAGAACACGTTCGGCCTTCCCATTCTGTTGGGAGGTGTAAGGACATGAAAGACGAAGCACGATGCCATGTTCAGAGTAAAATCTGCGGAGGACGGAGTTGTCGAACTCGCGTCCATTATCAGTTTGAAATGCGTGAATTGGACTGCTGAACTGCGTCGTGGCGTAGCCATGGAAAGGCATTATGTGTTTGGCAACATCAGACTTGTGACGGAGAGGGAATGTCCAGACAAAGTGTGTGTAGTCATCTAAAAGCACAAGATAATATTGAAATCCTGTGAAGCTTGCAATAGGTGACGTCCAAACGTCACAATGAACCAATGCAAAGGGAGCAGAGGTTTTATTTTGAGAAGAAGCAAAAGGAAAACGAATGTGTTTGCCTGTTCGGCAGGCATGCCATGTATGTGAAAGCTCTTTATTACAAGTGAAAGAAAATGACTGAAGAAGATGACGGAAAGACTCATGGCCGGGGTGACCAAGTCGTTGGTGCCAAAGATCTGCAGAGACGACGGTGAGGCAGTGTGAGGATGCAGTGGCCGCCAGGTGCAGTGGATAGAGATCGCCCGTGCTGTCACTGCGGAGTATCACCTCCCGGGTGTGTCAATCCTTGATAGAGAAACCACAATCGTCAAATTCAACGGTAATTGGATTTTCACGAGTAAGAGTGCGAACTGAAACAAGGATCTTGATTAAGGATGGGGAGATCAGAACGTTATTTAGAGTAAGTGGAGTAGAAGAGGTTTTAATGGAGGAGGAACCAGTGTGAGTAATGGGGAGAGAGGTGCCATTACCAACAATGATTTTAGTAGAAGATGAATTGGGCGTGAGAGAGGACATGTTACCAGAGCCTTGGGACATATGTGACGAGGCACCGGTATCGAAGAACCACTCGCCAGTGGACTGGGGTTGGTGCAGGGAGATGTTGTTGAGGGTGGCGAGCAGGTGGGGATCCAGCTGATTGGAGGCACCAGCGACGTGTGCCTGCGGTGCCGGGGCGGACGGCCGAGCGCCGAGGACGCCGGGTGCTAGAGCGCACGGTGGCCCCTGGAATGGCCAGGCCTGAACCATGCCCGTCCAGGGATTGGTCGTGGGCCAGTAGCCTGGAGGAGGCGCCTGGTTGGACGGTGTCCCCTGCTGCTTCTTCTTCTTCTTGTTGAAGGAGGAGGAGGTAGACTGGCGGCCGTTGTTGGGTGCTGGAGGAGAAGGCGTCGTGGCCGAAAGTTTCCCGGGGGCGCCCTGGGTCAGTGACGCGCCGTGAGCGGTGTGGGCGACAAGGGCGGCCGCGGCCTGGAGGTTGGCAGCCGAGGACGTAGTTGAAGAAGAGGCCAACGGTGTGGTGCCGGTGGCCGCGGCCTGGCTGACGAGGGCCGCCGCAGCTTGCATCTTCTCGGATTCGGCGATTCGATGTTCCTCGAGTTGCAGCATGGATCGGGTCTTGAGGAACGAAGGCAGGCGGCGACGAAGAGTGATGTGGGGGATCGCATGATGAAGTCGAGGGTTGAGGCCGCGGACGATGTTGTAAATGAGGTCCTTGTCGTTCACCGGAGCACCAAGGCCAGCGAGACGATCTGCCATGACTTTCATGCGAGAGCAATACTCGAGAACGGGGAGATCACCTTGGTAGAAATTCCGGAACTCGGCGCCGAGATAAACAGCGCGAGTATCCTTGTTGTCGCGGAAGAGGTTGCGGACGCCGCGCCAGAGGGAGTACGCGGTGTCGGTGTCCTCCGAGACCATGGAGAGGAGCTCGGGAGAAATGTGGTTGTAAAACCACGAGACAATGGCGCAGTCGTTCTGCACCCAGTCGTTGTCGCCATTGGCCTTGGTGCCGTCGACATGATCGCTCAGCCCGTACTGGCTGAAGATGGCGGAGAAGGAGCGAGCCCAGGCGACGTAGTTGGCTTCATTGAAGTCGAGGACGATCGGCACGCGGTTGAGGATGTTGATGCCGTGGACGACGGACGGTGCAGCGGGCTCGGTTTGGACGCGGAGGGTGTGAGGGAGGAAGGACTCAGCGTCGGAGTTGCTGTCGGAGCCCGAGGAGGAGGACGAAGAGGAGCTCATGGCGGCACCGAGTGGTGGAACGTGGGCAGCGGAAGTTCAGGATCGAGGAGCGGCTGATACCATGTAATCGGACAACAGAATGAGAAGAACAACTCACTTGTATTGATCTCAGGCTTATGCCTTTATACATGTACAACATTGACACAGTCGTAGGGCTAACTAGAATAGCTACAAACAAGGAGAGCCAAGGAACGTGCTTGTGCTCGCTAACACAGTTACATAAAAAAAAATCTCCTCAGTTTTCAGTGAGGTTACAAAAGCTATCTTAAACAGAGTAATTTATAGAGCCGCAAACCACCAGCCGCGAGAACATAATGGGAAACTACTTTGATAAATATACTTGGCTGCGAATTCAGCAATGTTCTTGTCAGAGCTCCCTCCTTCCTGCATCGCTTCCTTGGCCTTCTTCATCCGTTTCGTCGCATTCTGCCTGAACTCTGTCTTCCTCTCCCCTTCCATCACCTCTCGGATGCACCTCTCCATCTCCTCCCTCCTCACCAATCCTTTCCGCATGCGCACTCCAATCCCCCACGCGCTCTCCACATACTTGGCCGTCGTCGGCTGGTCCGCCCACTGCGGCATCGCCACCATTGGAACACCACTAGCGATGGATTCGATCGTCGAGTTCCACCCACAGTGCGTCAAGAATCAACCTACATACATATGCGCAAAAAAATGTTTAAACTCCTCTGTTCTAAAACAAATTTCTCATCGTCGTCTTGACAATATAGGAGTACATCACAGGCTGAGTTTGGATCATCTCGTACGTACCTGTGGCCTTGTGTTCCAGTACCTCAAGCTGAGGACAGAAGGGGACAACGAGGCCCCTCTGCTTGCACCTGCCACTGAGCTGCTGAGACAGCTTGTCTGCCTCGTTGGGCCTCAGCACCCAGACGAAAGGCTTGCCGGAGTCGCACAGTCCGTTGCCTAGCTCCTCTAGCTGCGCCGCGTCGAGGTTGGCGACGGTCCCGTACGAAGCGAGGACGACGGAGCAGGGCTCCTGCTTGTCCAGCCACGCCATGCACGGCGCCTGATCAGTGCCCGAGAAGAGGTCGACGCCGTACGTCTTGTTGCATGACAGCCGGCCGTCGTCGAGGTAGAACGACGGCAGTGTCGGCCCGATGGTCTTCGCGCGACACGTCGACTCCAGGTAATCCGCCTCCTGCTCAACCAGCCGAAAGATTTGCTTGTCGATCGCATGTCCTCTGTTTCTCCAGCTTTGAGTTGAGAAAGATCAACGGACATGGTGTGTGTTCACTCACCCTCGGCTCCAGGTCACGGAACGAGTTGACGAGCACGTCGTCGGCGAGCTCCAGCCCGTCGAACTGGCTCAGCGCGGATTCCGTGAACGCCGGGTACCACTGGGGCGCCGCCACGAACGGCGGCACGTCGTCGGGGCCCAGCTCCACGGCGAGCCTCCCACTCCGGCGAAGCTCCCCGCCGTCCGCCAGCGGCAGGGCCACGCGCCCGGCCCACGCCTAGCCGTAGACGAGGTCCACCGCGCACATCTGCGTCATGAACGCGGCCGCAGCCACGCCGGCGGCCCGCGACACGCGGCGCGCCCACGGCAGGTGCGAGTCGTACACCAGCACCCGGACGGGCCGCCCCGCGCGGGCCTCGGCGTCCAGGAGCGCCGCCAGCGTGTCCGACCCCGCGGCCTCCATCCGCCGCACGTACTCCGCGACGTCCAGGCACGACGAGATCCCGCCGGCGTCGAAGCCGTCCGAGATGGCGGCCACGGGGAACGGGCACGACCTGGAGGTGGAGCCGGTGGAGAGGACGTCAGCCTTTCATTTTGGCCGAAACGATCGTGGATTATTATTACTGGCGGCTTTAATATGAGAGAAAAATACTATTTTAGCTTATAATCCACGATCGTTTACGACCAAACGAACAGGCTGGCAGGAGACCACCAGGGTCGGGAGCAGGCCGTGGAAGGCCAGCTCCAGCTCGAGCAGGACGTGCGCGCCGCAGCCGTCGCCGGCGCCACCTTGGACGAACGTGGTGGCTGCGCCGTCGTCCATGGCTCCGTATTCGTGGCGTTGCAACGGCTACATGGCTTGTCACTCGCTGATCTGACTGCATTAGTAATGGTCCAGTGGAGTGGCGCGCAAGCTTCATGATTGGGAACGGAGGGAGAGCTAGAAGACGTGCATCAGCTCAGCTCTTGGACCTGTTTGGATTATGGCTCCTAAAATTAGTTAGCTAAACTGCATCCTAAAATTTAGCCAGGTCATGTTTATTAGTTAGATTAAATAGGACTAAACCTGACAGCATGGTTAAAATGACCAAAACACCCCTAATTAATGCTAAACTGCTGCCCCTGGCATTCGGCACGCTCGCTGGCCGCGCTGCTAGCTCCCGCCCGCGCGCCCCTAGCTTCCCGCGCGCCCGTCCCTGCTCTGCTAGCTGCTAGCCCCAATGTTCATTCTCACTCACTAATAATGTTCAAATAGTTTAAAAAATCTTCATTATTACAAACCATGGCACGTCTATGACCTTCTAAACAAACCATTGGCTATCCAATCACAAAATTGATTCATGTTTTCATCTTCATCTACATAACGGCCCTGTTCGCTTTTCTTATAATCTGTCTTTTTCAGCTTGTTTTTTCAGCCGGAACATTATTTTGGCTTATTTTTTCAGCAAAGTGAACAGGGCCAACGTGTATTGCCTCCAGTTGCTTGAGGAGAAGTTCCTTCCTCATTTGGGTTATAGTTTTCATCTTGATCACACGAGTCAAAGATGTCATCCATACCACTCTGTCTAATGAAATTGTGTAGTGCCATGCATGTCATGATTATTTTGCTTTGCTTTGCCATGGGAAAGCTAGGTAAATCCAACAAAATTCTCCACTTTATTTTTAGAACTTCAAAAGACCTCTATATGACATTTCTAAGTGAAGAATGTGTGTAATTAAACAGCTCTTTTTTACCTCTTGGCCCAGGGCCTTCTCTCCATTCGGGGACATGGTATTTTGTACCCTTGTACGGAGCAAGAAAACCCGGTCAATTTGGGTACCCTGAGTCAACCAGATAGAATTTCCCTACACAACACAAAACTTGTGTAAGTAAAATGACAAATACTGCAACCAAAACAAAGAAGACATTGAAGAGCCCATGCATACCTTCAGGTGGATGTGAAAAGTTATTTCCAAACTTCTCAAGTGCATCATTGAACACCCTCATATCATGAACCGAGCCAGATGAAAGGTCTAATTTGGTTTTGGATAATTGATGAAACCTAGGGACTAATCCTTGTACTAAGTGTGTATACATGAAAGGATGGCCGCATGCCAAGTGGTGGAGCAAGAGGATAATCATGGTGGATGGTGATGACCAAAAGATGATCAAGTGCTTCACATTTGGAAAGGAAGAAAGAGAAAAATAAAATTGGCTCAAGACAAAGGTATAATGATAGCAACCATTTTTAGTTTGCACGCAAGACACTACAGAGGATGTAAGTGATTTAGGATCGATAGTCATACTATAAAGAGGAGAAATCTTTGGCTAAGCGGTTATCGAGTGCCACTAGGTGACATAATTCTTGCATATGCATTTAGGAACCTAATGTGCTAACTTTGACCCTTATAAAATACTTTGGAAAATGCTAACACACGTGCACACAAGTTCTGCACTTTATGGTTAGCAAGTTGAAAGCAAGGGCGAAGTGGTTTTAAACTTAGAAAAAGAAAAGGAAAAGATAGTCTACGACCGGACGCAACAGTCAGGGTGGACCTGCGCGTCCGGTCAATTATAGCGAGGAGGCGTTGTGTTGGCCGAGAGCGCAAAGGACACGATCGGATGCTGGACCTGACGTGGGGTCGAGTCCGGTCATGCACAGCAGTGGAGGCGCAACGCTTGGCACGGGATCAGACGCAGGCGACGCGGTGCGACCGGACACGCAGGGGGCACATCAGGTCAACTCTAACGTACGCTGACATCAGCTCGGTGAATGAGGTTGTGAGGACTGGACGCTACGGCGTATTAGGTCACCTTCGACCGTGCGCGTCCGGTCATCAAAATTACGCTCTGGACCCTTAATGGAAATGATCGGACGCTGCGTGTTCATGCGTCAGGTCGTGTGAGCTGCGCGTCCGATCGTTCTTTAACTATGCGAGTGAATTGTTTTCGACCGTTGGAGATGAGCGGTTGTGGCGTCCATCGGTTGATCGGACTCGGGCAACTTGACGCAGGGGCAGTGTCCAGTCAGTGCGTCTAGTCACGTATGCACAGAGCCAACGGCTCTATTTTCGTGAGGCCGTCTATAAATAGTGTTTGGCCGGCTTGGGGCTCACAGTCTTGGTGCTTTGACATCCTTGTGAGCCTAAGAAAACACCTCCCACTCATGTCCATCATTCATTCATCATCATAGTAAGATTGGGAGTGATTCCAAGTGCATTTACTTGAGTGATTGTATCTAGTGACACTTGGGGATCATTATGGCTGCGGATTTCTTGTTTCTCTTGGTGGTTTGTCGCTACCTAGACGGTTTGGAGCAGCAGAGGAGCTTCGCCACGTGTTGGTGATTGTTTGTGGCTGGCTCTGGTGATTGTAAGGGGTCTTGCACCTTCCCCGACGAAGAGCCGTAAGGTAGCTCTAGTAAATTGCTCGTGTCATTGAGTTACCTCACTTGTGGGTAGGTTCTTGCTGTGTCTATTTATTGGATGAGGTTCGTGCAACACCTCTTAGCCACCAAACCACCAAGTGTTGGTCGACACAATGGGGACTAGTGTGCCGGCAAGCATGTGAACCTCAGGAAAAAAATCTAGTGTCTCTTGTGTGATTGGAATTCTCCCGATGATTGAATTGGTATTCATCTTGTGATTGGTACACTCCTCTAATTGGCGGTATAATCATCTTACTCACCCCTTTACTTTCTTGCAAACTAGTTGTAGCAAGCTCTTTAGTGTAACTAGATTTGAGAGCATGCTTTGTAGCTTAGTTTCATCTAGTGAAGATCTTTAGTGTAGCCTTATTGAGAGTTCTTAGTGAATAGTGCTTAGACATTGTGTGTATCTAGTGATCATAGCAACTTGAATTGTTAGGATAGGTGGCTTGCATCTCTTGTAGAGCTAGAGCAAAATTGCATTACGTCGTTTGTTGTACTAATCAATTGCTCTAGTGCTTTGTAGATTTTTAAATAGGCTATTCACCCCCCTTTAGCCATATTAGGACCTTTCAAGTGGTATCAGAGCCGTGATCACCGTTTGATTGAAATCTTAACAATCTCGGTGTCAAAAGATGGCTCAAATTGTGTTCAACCATGTGGGGGGCAAACCACCATTCTTTAATGACACATGCTATGATTATTGGAATAGAAAAATGAAGATGTATATTGGTTCTATCAATGACCAAGTGTGGGATGTGACCGAGAGTGACTTTGTGATTCTTGATTTGAACAATCTCACCAACAATGACAAAGCCAATAAGCAATGCAATACAATGGCTCTCAACACCATCTACAATACCATTGATTCTAAGGTGTTTGAGCAAATCAAGGATTGTAAGAGACCTAATGAGGTGTGGAAGAGATTAGAGGAGACCTATGAGGGCACACCAGCGGTGAAGAGTGCCAAGTTATACATCCTCAAGGACAAGTTGACAAGCTTCAAGATGAAGGATGATGAGAGCATTCCAGAGATATTCCATCGATTGCAAATGATTGTCAATGACTTGAAGGCATTAGAAGAGAAGATCAATGATGATGATGTCTCTCATCGGTTCTTGATGTGCTTACCTCTAAGATTTAAGACATTGAGATTGATCATCATTAGAGGAGGATTACTAGGTGATGTCATGACACAAGAGACATACCTGTGGAAAGGGAGGGGGTTGACAAGGATGACAAGAAGGAAGATGAAGACAAGAAAAAGAAGAGTGTAGCATTTAAGGCTAGCTCATCATTCAAGAACAAGGGCAAGTCTAAGAAACAAGAATCAAGTGATGATGAAGATGCTAGTGATATTGATGATAAGGCCATAGCTCTATTTATGCGCAAGATGGGCAAATTCATGAAGAAGAAGAGCTATGGTGCAAGAAAGAGAAGAGATCATAACAAAGAGTATGTGAGGAGATGCTACAAGTGCAAGAGTAAGGATCACGTTGTAGCAGATTGTCCCTACAATAGTGACAATAATGAGGTTAACAAGAAGAAGAAGGAGAAGGAAAGGAAGGAAAAGAAAGAAAAGAAGGAGAAGAACATGACCTTTCAAAAGAAGAAGAAGGGTGGAGGCTATGTGGTAATATGGGATAGTGATGGCTCTTTGGATAGTGATGACTCTAGTGATGATGACAATAAATCTCTCAAGAAAGCACTAGCAAGCATCGCCATCAACAATAAGCCTTCCATCTTTGATACTCCATCGACATGCCTCATAGCAAAGCCCACCAAGGTAAAATATGATATGAGTGATGATGATTATGAAAGTGATGATTGTAGGAGTGATGAGGAGGAGGAAGAGTACACCAAGGAGGAGCTCTTGGACATGTGTGAGCAAGTACACACTTGCTTTGAGATGAAGAGAAAGGAGTACAAAGAATTGCGCAAGAAAATCAAATCTCTTGAACAATCCTTTGATGAGCTCAATGCCTCTCATGAGAGTCTAAAGGAAGACCATGAGGAGCTTGGCAAGGCTCACTCCAAGCTTGAAAAAGCTCACTCCTCTCTCCTCGAGCAAGTCAAGAAGGAGGAAGTCAAGAAGGAGCAAGTGATTGTATCATGTGATGTGGGACTAACATGTGATATTCTTGATGAATCTTTTTATAAGCCCATTGTTGTTGCTCCCACTAATCCCTCTTGTAGCACTACCACTTCTACTTCACCTTGAATGATGGTTTCACTTGTGATGCCTCACTAATGGTGAAAACTGAGACCCTCAAGAATGAGGTGAATTAGCTCACTCGTGCCTTAGGCAATGCCTATGGTGGAGATGCCCGCTTGCTAAAGTGCTTGGGTAGCCAAAGGTTTTCTCTCAACAATGAAGGATTAGGCTATACCCCCAAGAAAGGCAAGACAACCTTTG